ATATTGAGAGATTTTGAATGGTATAGTGTAAACAAGCAGAAGATTAATTAAATATTTCAGAAAGCATTTACTCCACATGTGATTTTTCTCATTTCAAGGATTAGCACTGCATGTCTTATCGTCTCACTGTGTGCCAAATTAGCTCTCTGTAGTGTGCCGCACACTTTGCACTATTGCATTGTGTGGCCAACTGACCTTCCCAGAGCAGCCATGGGGATAAAGACGATAAAGAGGACAACAACGATCTCTCCAGGCATCAGGAAGGAACCAATCCGTGTCTAATGCCGTTTGTCTCAAACTCTTTGAGAAGAAGCTAAAAGGTAAAATGATGAAGGTAAAAAGCATCTGAGTTGGTTAGTTTTGCACAGAATTGTTTTATATGAAATAAAGCTTCATATTTTCCACGTTTTTTAATGTTTTCCTTGTCCTCTTTGGCTCCTTTATTTATTTATAATTGACAGCAGGCTCATTGAGACCAAAAAAGAACATCAGCATACTTTTTCATAAATGTTAGACTCCTACATATTTTCAGCTTATTTATGTTCACTTATCATGACATCTGATCCCAGTTCTCAGCTCATTGAGGATGAACCCAGCATGGCTCATGTCCCAGCTAGAGTCTGTCAAATTTCGATTTCAGGTCGCATTGGCAGACAACTATGGCTGAAATGTGTCTGCGTATATCAGCTTGGTATTAAAGGAGGATTATAAACACGTATGATTTAAGTTTTATGATGCACCCTTCATAAATTGGCTGTAGATGCATTTTTGTGAAAAAGAAAGATTAAAATTGTGTTTTGTTAAAAGTAACTTCACCTTAGTGGGTAACAAAAGAGAAGGAAAGTGATGCAAAAGATGAGTCAAGAGGGAAGCCAGGGAGGGAAGGGATGAGACGATTTATTGTGAAACCTGTGCTGTAGTCCTGTCTGATCATCTGTAAGCAGTGGGTGGGTAGACAGCGGGAAAACACCATATTGATGGGGCTGTTTACCCCTTTCTCCAAGGAAAAGAAAGGGGCTTGGACACAAAAAAACAAAAGAGTGAGAAGGAACAGGCACTTATTTCCAGGTGGTGCAGGTGGTGTGCGTGTGTGTGTGTGTGTGTGTGTGTGTGTGTGTGTGTGTGTGTGTGTGTGTGTGTTCCTTTGTACTTTCAGCTTGCCATTAATGTCTGAAAACACATGTGAAAAGTACCTACAGTATGGGGAAGCAGCAGGGCTCGGTTTGGTGCTTGTTGACGACGCCAACAGTTTTCTCTTTGTCTGAAAATATAAAATGAAAAAAATGAATAATAGAAATGATACAGCGTATTCATGAATAAATGCGTGTTCTGAACCTCACTATTGGATTCAAGCTGTGAATGTGGAGCAAAATATACCTGTGAGCATCCATAATGTCTCGGTGTTTTTACACTGCACGGGTCGACAGCAGCACTCCACCTGAGCTCCACCTGTTGGCATCAGTAGCCTACTACTGTTCAGTTAGTCACAGTAGCTACTGTTCAGTTAGTCACAGTAGCTGTGTTAGTCTATTGCAGTGGTTTGTGTAGGAGGGATTTGATTATAGGTTCACACAATACAGACGTCAGACCTGTGAGTAAACTGATCACTGGAGTGGACTCTCATAAAAGAGAGAAATGTTGAGGATTCAAACCTGCAATTGAATAATGCTCAACTGAAGGAAGAATGAATGGCAAATCTGAACATATTGGGGTAAAACACATTATAATTAGTGTCAATGCTATTGACATTAAGAAGTAGAGACTAAGAACATAGAGCCAGGCTAGCACCTATGAGAAGCTGTACAATGATGCTAAAGGCTGACTGCAGGTATTACCATGTTCATCATCGTATATTAGTATGTTAGCATGGTAACATTAGCTGATTAGCAACACATGCAAAACATAGCGGGGGCTGATCCAAATGCTATTATTTCTTCCGGTATTTTGTTTGTAGTACAATTAGCTTTGTGAATGCGTAACTGGAACTGAGTGAAAGGGGAAAAACATGACGAAACACATTCATGTAATAAAAAGATATTTGTCATGCCAATAGTTCAAGGCATGCAATGTTTCTGCTGCAATAATCCTTGCTCAGTTAAAAATGACCTCACTCTTATTTCACAACAATATATGTCCTTGAGTGATTCAAAGGGATGAGCTGTGTGGAGGGTTAAGCTTCTGAAAAACATTGGCTTTAACAAGAACAACTTTAAGACAAAGCCTTGTCTGCGTCTGCACTGCGATGATTAAAGCCTCTCGTCTAAGTTGAGGCTAAACGTTGCATGCTGTCAAGGTCACAGTAATAATTTTGAGTGAAACAGAAACCTCGATGGGAATATGAAATTAATCTCTGTATACGTTTAAGCAGCGCTCAGCACTATTCTTCTTAGAGGGTCCCAGGAGCCCTTCTTCACTATGCAGATAAAAGACTCCAAAGACAACGGTTCATATATAACGGTTCATATATCTAATGCTTTACCTCAGAGTCCTTTTGAAGACACCAAAGTGTATTGTAATTGGACTCACTCCAGCACAAAGAAACTACTTCCTTGAGAGCAATTTGAAATACCTGTCTTACACTCTTTTAAAATGCAGGAGTTAATTAATATCACCTTTCTTCCCTAAGTCTCTATGTGCAAAGTGAACACTGTCTTATTACTGTCCAGGACTCTCACCACCCAATTACTGGTGTTATAAAAGTCCAAAGGCAATTTTTACAAAGAATAACTCCACTTTGAGCATCTGACCCAAACCACCTGTTATTCTGTAAGCCTCTCACCCTTTTTGGTGTCATTGATACATTTTATGGCGTAAAAGGACAAATTATTCCGGTCAAGAGCGATGCTTTAGTGGCCGGGGGGGGGGGGGGGGGGGGGGGGGGGGGGGGGGGGGGCTGTTTCCACACTTGTTGCCCACACAACACGGTATAGTTAGTGAGAAAAAGTGACACCCTTGCATCTGATAAGCTAACAGCAAAGATAAAAAGCAAAGCTCTAGCCCCACTACAGATCTGCCATATCAGATCTATTGCACTAATATATGCTTGCATACATCACTGCTTGTTAAAACGTGTGGAATAAAGCATGAACATCTCCAAAAAACAATTACCTCTTTATTGACTAAAATCACAGTCATTTATTTTAAAGGAACCATTGTGAGAGATTTTGGTGTTCCTAAAAATAATAGGAAAGCTCAAAAGACACTCACGGCAAGTTGTAAAATCAGTGGTTGAACCCACACGCACTAGCGGTTGTAGCTCGATGCATTATTTATTGATACTGAAATTATAAATGAACAAATATCTGCTTTGAGAGGTAGGTGAAGCACTTAGTGGAGAAAACAACATTTGACAGACACACCTTGTGTCAGATGTTAAGGTGAGTGGGGATCAGCTGCTCAACGTGAAGGAGCTCCGATATTGTTTTATTTACCAGTGAGACCGACTGCCAGTTAGGGACACTGGCTTTGAGGACAGAGCTAAGCTGTAAATAAGCAAAGATCTTAGTTTACTGCTCAATCCTTGCTCCAAAAAGAGTGAGATCACACATTCAAGGTTTCGAGTTAAGGGCACAGCCAAACATCAGCGGAAATTGTTGTATAATCTTTAATCTCATAGTTTTATTTAAAAAAAAATATTCACATGTCATCTAATATATATTAAAGAATAGGCAGGACATAAATATACACCCATCTCTGGTTAAGTTGTATATTTAAGTTATACAGAGAACTCACACATTCCAAGGAAAAAGCTGTAATTTATATCGGATAGGAAATCATTTTAAAGCCACAAGAAAACAAAAAAAACTCTGGATTAATTCTGTCAGCAGGCCTGGGGGGGGATACCCCATAAAGAGTTGAGGGTGTTAATGTAAATCAGCAAACGGACAAATGACAATCCAAAGCCTCAAGATTCTGCAGGAAAACAGGCTTCAGATTGAGTTGAGCCGAATTTCAGAGAGCTATTATATATCTAGAATGCCCCATAAAAGTTCAACTAGGAAGTTTGTAAACTGGGATTGATTTTACAGTTTGCCTTTATTTTCCATTTCAACTATCCCAGGGGTTTGTTTTAAACCTGTCTGGTTGTTTGTTGCAATGTCTGACTTTTTTTTGTTGCAATATTGTTGTGCTCCAAGATCTTAGCAATCACATTGATGTGTAAATTGATAAAAACAGAGTTGAACTGAAAAACCTAGGCTGTTACAATTAAACCAATGTTGATGATAAAAACCTGGCGGTAAACACAGCGCTTTTAACCCCTTTTTAATCAACACATTTACTTTTAGAACAAAAAAGCAGAGGGTAAAGAATGATGTTTATCAAGAGGTTCTGACACATTGAAATACCAGCAGGATGACACCTTGTCAAAGGTGGTTGCACACACATTAGTTTGCTCATCCTCATCAGCAGCATCTGCCCCCCCCCCCCCCCCCCCCCCCCCCCCCCTTTCTTTGGATAACTGTCATAGCTATAATAATCACATAAGACATCAAGTTGAACTCTTTCCTTTAAGTACAGAAGAACCGGTATTACCTGGTATCTTATACTTAGCCTAAAGGCTAATGTCTCTGCTGAGTGTGAGTCTGAACACTATTCTTTAATAGTGTCATTAGCACAGCTTTTCAAATGACAGTAGCTGACTTGGATGGTGCCAACTATAATTGGTTGTTATAAATGTAAGTTAAAATTGTGTTACGGTTGTTAAGCAGTGACTTTTGTCATAGAGGAATCTCACCCTCAAAGATTAAGCCTCAAATACAAGACATTAGATTCAATGGAAAGTACAAATGATTGAGTTCAATTAATTAAGTTATCATTTATAAACCATGAGAATTCGTTTATAAATGATAACTGCGACGTGAAGAAGTAGAGCATATCGAATATGGTCAAACATGTACCAGAAGTAATTGTACCGTTGTCTATTACAGTACCAGATTTTAATGTTTTTTTATTTATTTATTTCTGTTATGTGTATGTTTACATGTAAATGAAAAGTGATATTGGGTTTTAAAGATTTTATTTGAGCTTTTGCAGGATCTGAATAGGATTTTGTCCTCAGCCATACAAGCAGTTTGCAGCATACGAAAACACATTTGAGTACTTTTCTCTCTCTGCCATTGACTAGACATACAGGGCATATGTGAACCAATCTTTTTCTGTTTCCCTGCCCATAGAGCTGCCAGCAACACGCAGTCAGGTGCTAGGAGGGAGCAATTGGATTCTTCTTCACCAGTGGCTCCTGGAGCTATCAGCTCCCATCCAGGCCATGAAGGCAGAGGAGGATTGAGTTTGAAAGATGATAATAGACTCCGGAAGGAGCTAATCTATTCCTAAAAGAAGAAAGGAGTATGAATTCTCTCACTTTCCCCAACCTGCCATCACCTCTCCTTTAACAACTCTTCTCAGCGAAAGCTTTACAGGTCCATTTTGAACACTGGACAAAACTGCAGCCATTACAATTGAAGACAATTACAATGTCTCAAAATGTATAAGAACATAAATATCCCAAATTATTTCTACAATGATCTGAACCACTTTCGAATGTTTGTAAGTAACAATATATATATTTTTTTATGTCTGAAGAATAAAAGGCCATTTTATTTTGGGCTTGTACAAATATTGGCAACTGTAAGAGTTAAAGAGCCTTTTTTTTTTTTTTAAATATCAAATCCAAAAGTCACCTTTAAATTACTTGACTTCTTTCACAGAAGTGTTCACAGTAGTTTAAAACCCCACTACAAAGATGTATTACCTGTATCTACAAATCATATATTATGTGTAGAAATACAATTAAATTAATAACAAACTTTTAGAACATACCGTATGTTTTACTTAAACTTGACATTGTCTGTTATAAATAAGTCCTTTTATAGTGTTAATGAATGTCAGATTAAAAAAATGGATATTGGCAAAGCTGAACCATTTGTTTAAAATAAGCCATCAGTGTCTTCTAATTTCCACACAACCGTTAGTGGTCACTCCTACCGTGTCCTGCACTGTGTGGAAGTGGTGCTCCATTACATATTGGAGCTTGTAACTTTCCCTGGCCCTTTTATTTCTGGATAAATAAGTTTGAAATGAAGTCTTGAAAGTTTCATGCTGCAAAAAGGCAAGCTGTTACAAGGCCAGGAGCATATGTAAACAAGGCAATATCAACACCCAGATGGCCCCTGTCAGTCCAAAGCTCCTGGATCGGCCCTCCCTCGCTGAGTCCTCGGCAGGTGGATAATGATGATTATGATGACGACGTTTTTGATCGCTGGTCACATCTGGACTCACTGAGGAAAGAGCAGAAGAAACCAACAGGTTAGTCAGAAGAACGCTCCTTATCAATATAACATCATGGAAGAGGTATTACTGTGTGCCTTGTTAAGAAGGATGATTTATTATACGTTTGTCTTCTTGTCAAAACGTCTTGTGAAAATACCAAAAACCCAACTGTCTTCTAATCTGACTTCCCTCCCTATCTGTGGCACTTACCCCTGAGCACATCTGATCCCTAAAATAGGTCAGATATATATAGTTTCATTTTTAAAGTAGGTTAACAAATAATAATACAGCAGCTTGGGACTGTAGATTTTGGCAAATGTTACCTAAAGAGGAGTGAATAGCGTTTTGGTTGCGTATAATTTTCAGCAGCAGATAATACACATTTGGTGTTCTTACAATTATTCATGGCGGGATGGTGTATGTTGAACTGACCCTATCCCAACTTAATTTCCTTTGTACACATATTGGACTATGAAAAAGCATCTTATATGGTAATTAACTTACATTTTAAGTTGCTATTAAAACATGTTAAAGCTTGTATGTGGCCAGGATGTTCTAAATCTTTATTAAATCACACAAATGTAATCAATGTTTGAACAATTATTTTGGTTTTTGCAACTCATTACTGAGGTTGGTTCGTTTTTAGGGTCTTCTGTCAGTTTTGTAAGATGTTAATGTTACTGGTTCCTCACCACAGGGATGGAGCAAAGCTGAAACCTTGATAGATGACCAGCAATAAGACTTCCGAGATTCTCACTTTGGCCCAGAGATCATAAGTCTGTCTAACCCAGAAGCTTATCAAACTTTATTTTACTTGCAGAATATAATAAGACCAGCAAAAGAGGCCGTTTGGATTTTGTGGTTTTCAATCCCACTTTTTATGGTGCAGCCAGGAAATAACCTGAAATTCCTTTCCCCAGTCGGGATCCACAGCTATTACTAACCCTCAACCCGTGTTATGGCTACATTTTCCCTCATTAAATCATTAAAGTCTAATATAATATAATCTACAAAAAAAATCTAAAATAAACTAAATCCAATCGTATTTTATCCCCATCTCATCTCAGCCTTTTCTCCATGTAAGGGCCCATACATGAGCTACTACTGAAGCATCGGAAGTAGTGGCTTGAATTAACTGCCTATTGATTCACCAGGAGTCCCCAGGACAGCTTTCTAAAGGTCTACAGCTCACAGATAGTCCGCCTGGGTTTTGGACCCAAGAACATCAAACTTCAACACCTAAATCAATTCTTCTTACTGAAGCCTTAAGGTTTACAGGAGGACAAAATGTAACTTTCAGACAAATTAATTCTGCATCACTTTAACCACATTTAAATTTTAACCGCAGAGGAAACTGAAAGTTACTCATGGTGTGATGCAAAAATCTCAAACTAAGTCATGGACATTAGGTTTGCTTGCAAGAGACTTAAAACATACACAAACTGTACTGCCTTTGAGGATCTGATTCATGTGCATGAATGTATTTAGTCTAACAATTATATTCAATGTGTTATGAATGTTCAGTGCATTTAATATACGACAGACACCACTACAGAAAGTGATACAAGTATTCAAATATGGAGCCATTTAATAATACCTTCAATAGCGACACACATCTTGATTACCAACACAAACGTGGACATGTTACTTAATATCACACACACAGTATTGACTCTGACTGCACTGCGGCTATTAATAACCGTCATCACTGCTGAATCTTCTGACTATAAGTGGCTTCCTTTTATGAATCGTAATAAAGGTAGAATAGAATAGAATAGAATCATTTAATGTCATTATACATGTACAATGAGATAAATAAATGCTTCTCCCTTTCAATGGTGCCATCAAAACAAAAAACATCACAACATAAGACAACAAATACACGCAGCATACAGTACATACTTAGGAATAAGGAATAAAGTGCAGTAATTATTTCCAGGAGTATAAAAAATAAAATCTATAATGTAATAAATGATAATAGTAGGTATGTATTTATAATAATAATAGTAATGATATATATGTATATATGTACAGAGTCACATTTATGACTGGTACAGGTCCATGAGGTGGAGCATATTACACCTCTAAAAGCATATCTTCATCCTCAATCATAAAACACAACAAAGGCTACATCTCTCCTGTGTCAAAGTAGGGTTTCAGGCCATAGCAAATGCTAATGGCAGAAAATAGATATAATGGTCTGTCCTCTTTTTGGATCCAAAAACAACTGATTTTGGGTACATTGGTTTGGAAAGTGGTGCAGTATTGGCATGTTTCAATACATCCTCAGCAGAGAGGTTAGGATGTCTGAAAGGTGCTTGGTCTGAAAAGAGACGTAGGTCAGAAAGAGAGGCTTACAACTGAAGTGAAATCAATAAAAGCTGATTCCTGAGGACTTGGACCAACAATGATCAATATCACACTAAGTGCACCAGGAAAAAACAGCTAACAACTGCAGCAGTGGAGAGCAGCTTTTGTGCGATTATATGAAGGTAAGGTTATTACAAACAGCTCATATTTGTCAAACTTCATTACAGCTTTCCTTGCTTTAGTTACAATGGAGAGGATCCTACATGGAAACTGTAGCTTTCCTCTATCACGCCCTGATGATTTCAGATTGGTACTTCAAATACTATATTCTGATGTAAAAGGCAATTACAAGTGTAATCAAATTGCTCTGTGATTGTTCTCTGTAGTATCTGAAGTGTGTTCAGTTTTTGCAATTGTGTGTTTTTTGAAAACAGTTTAGAAGAGACAAGAAACACAAAGAGAGACGAGAGAGAGAGATGCGGCGACGGAATCGACGAGCAGAGAGCCGAGCAGAGAGAGAGAGAGAGAGATTGCCCCCTACTGACACTGAGACTAGAGGAGAGACGCATTGAAGACGGTGACGAGAGATCGAGAGAGCCGAGAAGCATGATGGTAGAGAGACGAGGAGAGAGCGACCACAGAGAGACGAGAGAGTGAGACGAGGAGAGGCGGAGAGAGACAGAGAGAAGAGAGATGAGTACGAGAGAATGGAGAGAGAGAGAGAGGAGAGAGATGAGAGCAAGAGTTCCATTGAGTCGAGAATATTGTGTGTGTGTTTACTTCCCCAGATCCCCAAAATTGTACTTGTGAAAAAGCTCTTCAGTGACTCCCAAACTCTGGTTATTTGGCAGACAAATCTTAATACAAATGGGCTAATGGCTGTCATGATAAACATAATAATCAGACAATGTACATTTGACGTGAATAGGCTTCCATTGGGCTTATTCAGGTTTTTTTTTCAGAACTAAACAAGAACTTGAGAAAGATCTTAATCCATACTGCCTGCTGTCGATCGTCGCCTGGGGTGGGAGCTTCAACACCATTCAACACCATTCAACCAGATTGATTTCTGTGAGACAGTTTGTTTTAGACTTCCTTGAGCAAGAAACAAACCTGAGAACTGAACCTTGGCAAAGTCAAATCATCTTTATTTTTAAAGTCTGCAACAGAATTATATTAAGACGCAAGAGCAAAAACCAGTGATTAGATTTTCTAATACTTCTTTTCCTAAATGTTTCTATACAGATTGATGGTAAGATTGATTTGTATGTCAGTTTGGATCTGGACCTCAGAATTGCGTTATTTGTACCAGAACGGGGAATTTACAACCTATGACCAAACTCAGAGCTTTTCACAAAGCAATGAGTTTCAGCCTTGATTGTTTAAAATATGTTGTGGTTGCTTGCTCTTATTCGGAATGATATTCAGAACTTTTTCATAGGTTCATTAGCTAATTGTAGAAGATACCACACATTTTCTCCAACTGCTTATGATATATCTTCCTTGTGACTTGGATACGATGATGATGATGTCTATGACGCTGTCTTATATGACAAAAGAAGTGTTGCTTGCATTTGTTGCATTTCCTTCATATTCAAACTGTTCCTTGGTGATTATGATACACACAGGATTCAGGAGTTTGCCTCATATAAACTCAACAATGTTGCGTCCTCCCTGGTATTTCCATTAATCTTCTCGGGCTCTTGAAAAAGAGCCTATTTCTGGGACCCGTCCTCTATCATTTGTCACAGATAAAAAATATCTGTGTCAAAACGGATGCCGCTTGTCCCCTATCCTGTCCATCATTATCCGACAGTATAATATGGGAGTCTGTTGTCACCGTGTCTCCGATGTAGATGCGTACAGGATGTCTTGTTTTAGCTGGCCTGTGTGGTTGAAGATCTCCCCTGAACAAGTGCTACATCAATCCAACGCATTGATCGTAACCACCATCTTTGTCCCTGCACCATCACTTCAAAAGGCCATTACAGCAAGAGGACCCAACGATTCTGCTGAAATCCCTCCCTTATTGTCCCTGTGGTGACTATAAAGAAGGCCTTGAGAAAAAGGATGCCTGCGAGGGGGACCCAAGTTCCCATCAGCAAAAACACGTCGGTGTTTGCTATCCTGGATCCAAAATGGTGGAATGCAGCTCCCCATTGAAATCAGGACAGCAGAAAGCCTACACATCTTCCGGCGCAGCAGACTGAAAACTCATCTTCTTCCGACTCCACTTCGAGCGATTAGAACTACTAAAAAGAATTACTAACCACAGCACTTATATACTAACAAAGGACTGGCTTATCTAAAGCCAGTTGAGTAGCACTTGAAATGTTTTAGCTCTATGAAACCTGATGTACTTATATGATTCTGTTTTCTTCAAGTTTGTATCTTCTTGGTCGAATGCACTTATTGTAAGTCGCTTTGGATAAAAGCGTCAGCTAAATGCAATGTAATGGATGAGTTAAATGATCCCTGTCACACTTTGAAACCCCCATACTGAACATGGACGCACATCACCTTCGCACTCAATGCACGTGCATGCCTGTAGTGCGCGCAGCTATACACGTCTCTAAATTAACTCTAATGATCAATGTATTAGCCGAATCCATGTGCGGCCCATAGAGAGCGACAAGCAGGATAAATGGAAATAAAAAGACACATGCAGATTTCTGAGTCCAGTAGATTTTTTCACAGA